CCCACACCCAAAATCATCCCCAGACCTGTACCAAAAAGGAAACTGATTGTGCCAGGGTGTGGGTAGGTGCAGATGTGGGTGTGAGTGTGGACGTGAATGAGGTGTGGATGTCGGTGTGCGCATGAGAGTCGATGATAGGGAGATCAACCCTCACACCTATTCACACCTCCACTCCTCAGTTACACCCGCGTCCCACACCCAAACTACCTTGAAACATTGGCGCACACAAATTTTCTGTTTAGCATGTTGAAGAACTTGTATCCTCATTCGTTGACTGTGTAAAACAAGGAACCGTAATTACTATTTCAAAAAATAAAATGATTGTTTTATTTATAACTAAATATATGGTTCATTGAAGGAGACATTTGTATAAAAATAGGAAAATATATTGTAATTTTTTCAAAATAATTGAGAAGCTAATATTAGGCGTCAAACTTCGTGTCTCTCACGTTAATAAGTATTCAATTGCATCGTACTCAATTTATAACGTTTTTTCTTGCTTCTTTGATTGTTTATCTCATCATCAATGAATACGCTAATATTTATACGATTCTCGAATGACGTTGCGTAATTTCATCATTGTCGCTTTTCATAAAAAGCATTAGTCATTCTTGGTTTTTATAGTTTAGTTATCAGAGGGCATGTGAGATATAATACGTTCACCTACTATTCGAGTTTGTCATCAATCTATATAACATCATCATTTTGCATATCATTGTTTTCTTATCACACAGAAACTATCTAAAACTTCCCCGAGATGAACTTTTTTTTCCATACTCGTGACCTGCGTAGCAGCATTCTTGAAACATCCAACTAGATTGAAATATAACAGTAAATTCACTATGTAGGCTGTCTAAGGCTAATAACTTCCGTCGACTTCCTTTAATCCATGCATATTAAAGTGTACATTGTTTAAATTGTGAGTTCTTTATCACAAATATATAGCACATCAAATTTAAGACACTTTTGCATCTCAATGCGCCCCTTTTATTTACATTTCGAATATAAATGTGGGTTAGGAGTTTTTTCAGTGATGTAAGATGCAGAGAAACCTGAAAAGTTTTACAATTTATGTCTCGCTCCAAAAGATTAACCAGAGTTTTTCTTTTGTACTCTTATGCTTTGGTATACTTTTTTCAGTGAAATCAATAGGAATTTTGATTTTCCACAAAGTTTTTGCAAAAGTAAACAGGGACGACAAATCTGAATCTGGAATTAGATTCCGAAAAATTGTATACTCGATGTTTTAGTCAGTCAAACTTTATAGAAAACCAATATTTTCCCCAAAATATCTTTCTTAGTAAAAAATAAAAATTAAATTAAGAAACTGTAAGACTATATTTCCTTTCTTGGTGAGTGCTAGTGAAAAATCCGCTATCGTTTATGATCAATGAGACGATAACGGTGCATCGATCAATAATCATAACTGTTGCTTCTCTAGAAATGGATCATTGTATTCACATCTTTATTTATGCTTTTTATACATTATTCGTATTAAAACAACTGAGAACTATTAGCATCTAGGTCGAAGAAACGACTAAAACGTCAGAATAGAAAAGATCTCGAATATCCAAGCAAATTACACGCTCGTGAGTAAAAAATTTAAGCTCTTGACTTTAACGCATCCCACAAGATGTTCGCCTAGGGACCAATCATGAACAAAATTTTTTAATGTATCCTAAAAAATATACCAACATGTATATATTTATGAAACTGACAAAGTGGAAAAACCATTTATCGACACTTGGAAATTGGACGTCACTATTATGATGTTCGTTGAAAGAAAGAACAAAATATAGAATGTGAAGTCAACATTGGTTATAGTTCATTGAGGCATCATAGGAGTTTAATAACAAGAAAGAACAATATTTAAATCAAATATTAATTCTTTGTTCTTTATTCTTTCATAAATAATCTTGTAAGAAAAAAAATTATTGCACGGCTTTTTGTTTCCTTTTTGACAATAATACATAAAAAAAAAAATCAGTCAGCAAATGATTTTCTTTTTGTTCTTTTTATTATCAATATTTACTATTTGATAAATTTTTTTTTTTTATTTCTTTGTAAATGTACTTAAATGCTAAACACTTCACTTGTTAAAATATTTATGAATATATAATCGCTGATGGATGTGAACAATTGGATTTTTACCTTTGGTATTCTTGATAAAATCCAACTGTAAAATATCCAAGGAAAAAAATGATTCACAATGTCAATGTTATGAGTCGACATGGTGAAAGTTACAACAATTAAAATGTTTGTTTGTAATTATTTTACCTTCTCTTATGTTTATGAGACATATTATTCTGTCATTGATTACACACTAAATTAAATGCAATCCTTGAGTACTTATATTTCAGTATCTATTTTATATAAATATATATATTAATGTACAATGTCTCCTTCAAAAGACTCATATCAAAACTTTCACTAATGACTTTTATGATAAATAGCGTCAAATGACTGTAATAGTAATTTGTTTATTTGTCAAAAACTTTATGAATGTTGTTTAATAAAATCAAATTAAATAATTTAAATTCTATTTTCAATATTTTAAAAACAAATGTTAAATATTACAAGGCGCTTCGGTTCTTTATTCTTAATTTCCTTTGTTTTTTTTTTTTGTTAAACTACAAAAAGAAAAATGAAACAGTAAAAAATACTGAATACACACACAGTAGCAATTATTTTCAAATTTGAGGTAAAAGAAAATGAAGAACCAAAAAGAAAAACAGAAGAAAAATTTTCACCGGTATATTTTCTTTTGTTTTTTCTTTTTTTAATATTCTATCGTTGAAATATCGATAATAAAATTTCTATTATTAAAATTAAATATGAATTCATGAATAAATCTAAAATAAATCAATAAAGATAATATTTTTCGACTTTTTCAGTTTTAAATACCTGAACTTTGATTTGATTTAAATTCAACTGGAATATATTTTCTTATTGGATCTGTTTCACATATATAAATTCCAGCAATATTAGCTGGTTCATCCGTATAAAATAATGTTGATATAAATGAATGTTGAGTAAAATTTTTTACTATACGTGTATGTCGATGTGAATTTGTATTAATTCGTTTATTATTATGCCACCAATGAATATCATAATGACGTTGTTCTAAATGACTATCTGTTAATATACAACTTAAACGTATGGAATATTGACCAGATTCATCAGGTGATATGAGTACTTCTTTCGAATGAATATCAAGACTATCTAAACAAGCCAAAATTTTAAAACTTAAATTGAGTTCTCTTCGAATTTTAATTATACTTACGTATCACACGTACTTGATAAGCCATTTGTATTGTTTTTGGTGAAAGTGATTTACACATATAAAGACCTTCATCAGATTCATTAACTTTTGATAATGTTAATATTGTTGAATAAGCTATAGAAGTATCATTAATTTGTTGAATTTTTTGTTGAATACTATAACGTGTTTCACTTGGTGTTAATGATTGATCATTGAGAAATAATGGTCGCCAATGTGTTTTATGTGTACGATGATTAATATTTGAATCAGTTAAATTTTGATAAAGCCATTGAACAATCTTTAAAATAAGAAATAAGATAATTATATAGAACATGATTTTTTTTTTTTCTTCTGTGTTACAGTTTTATCACTGTCTTCATCTTGAAATGTACATGAAAGAGATAAATCAGAATCACGTTCAGCTGTTACACGTTTTGGTTGTGGTCGCCTATCGGCTAAAATCAAATATAATGACAAAGCAAAAAAAAAAAAAATAAGAAATTTTCTTTATTATTCCATATATGAAAATTTTAGAATAGTAATTATCAATATTAAAGATTCGTTTATTTATAACTTTCGAGTGATATTTGAATTAGATAATTGAAATTCTACTATTTACAAACAGATTATTCTTAATCAAACTAATTCAACTTGACAGACATTATCTCGTCATTATTCAACCTTCATTTCTTTTTTTTTTTTTGTAAAATATATATAAATTATTCAATTAGATTTCATTCGCATGGTCTACTATTTTATTTTGCGCCAAAATATATATTAATCGATATTCCTCTGGGAATAATTTTCGCATGATAGACTCTTTTTTTTTTTTTCTTCTTTCTTTTACTGTTAATCATAAATCAATTATCAACACTTACCATAGATAATATCAATCGTTAGAAATAATAAGCAAATAATAAATAATCGTCGATAATAATTCATTTCTAATGATTTTTATTTTTTGTTATATTCGTCAATGAATAGATATATTCTGAAATAAAACAGATACAATTTTTTCTTTTTTTTGTTGTTGATTAATAATGATATTTTTGACACCGATGTATCAACAACATCTGATACATACATATACATTCATTATCCAACATTTCAGATCATAATAATTTCTCTTATTCATCGCATCGTTCACCAAAAAAATTCTATCTTACATCATAATCTTGCGATCAATTTCTTTTTTTTTTTTTTTGTTTGATAAAACGAACAACATTGAAAACACTAATTGAAGAGGGCGGTGAAATATGTATATATACATATAGTACACTAGAATCGTCTTTTCTCTTTGTTCTTTTGTTCTATGACACGCACGCAATGGATACTATACAATAGTAATTAGAACAACACACACATACACTACTGAGAAATATGTACAGATGAGGATAGCCAACTGACTACCCCTCCGGAGAAGACGAACTTGCTCTCGCCTATTTACAAATTGATTAAAAATGAATGAAACTGAATTACTTTCCATGCGTCATACAATAGTAGTGTAATGGTCAATAGTCGAATAGTAGTGACCGTGGCGGCGATGATAAAGAGACATGCACATTTGAAGAGAAACCCTAGTTGTACATACACACACGACATATATCGGCTATGTCATGCAACTACACGCGTGGACATTACTATATGACTTAAAAATAACTAACAATTATTATTATCATCTTCATATTCAGGTCATATTTACATGAACTACTTTAATGTAGATACGTGCTAAAAAACTTCTACTTCTAAGTATTCTGTCTCATATACATATATATGTATATAATACAGAATAAACTTAAGTTGATTTATACATATCAAATCTGAGGTCTTTCTTGTGGACGGACAAAAAAAAAATGTTACTTAACTTGTTCAAAATTTTCGTCCATGAACGTTTACTTAACATCTCAAGAATTGTGTCATATATATATAAGAGTTAATAATGTTCTATTTGCATTTCATAACTGACTTGTATATATGTATACATATGTATATTCTAAGGGACAAAGAAAAAATTCAAATGATTGATAGAGTACGAATAATTGATTTCAATAAAGAAGCAAAGAGAAGAAAAAAAACGCATCAACACCAATGACATTTATGGAATTGTGAATTTATTTTTGTCTATGCCCGCGTATATCTAATCGTTCTCTAGCATAGCATGTCCAAAAATTTGATTTTGTGACATAGAAGAATACACGCTCATCTTATGTGTTCATTCTTCTGTACAGTCCATGTATGTTGTCGGAAACGACAAAATACTAGTTTTATATATAGACATGCTCAAATGATTAACATTTTGACAATTTCTAATAGAATGTATGAATAGCATCAGTGACCAATAAAAGTCGATTAGTCGTCATTAGAGAAATGACATCATATGATCTTAAAATATCTCGAGGCGATAGAATAGTGTCGGTTCATATGAAATAGAAATCTCAGTGTTTATATACAAAATAAGTATGCGCGTGTGCATTTCGTGAAAGAAGAAAAAAAAAAATCTATATATATATGATGATTGAGCGTAGCATATATATATATCGTTTATTACGTGGCTATACTCAACTATGCATGAACAAATAATAAGCACACAAAACCAAAGTTAGTTCATCGACAATCGATCTTAGTGCTACTCATCTAAGTTTGACCTTCTGTTAAGAAAAACGTTCATTCACTGAAGTGCTAATTTCTTTCTCTCATTTTGTTTGCCGCACGCAAAACTCGATCAAGTGTATGCAACGGTTTCCTCTTCTTCTTCTTCTTTTTTTGCTCTATGAATGGTCTATATGCGCAAACTTTGTGTCATTAGACATTAATTCTGCTGTCATTATTACCGTATATGTATGTGGTTACAATTTCTTCCATTACTTCATTCACCTGTTATGACAGATCTTCATTCTGTTCGTCTGCATATACATACACAACATTGAACAGTAGTAGTGGTAGTCGCTACTTCTCAAGTGGACGAAAGAGGAGGAGAAAGAAAGACATTGAACACTTTCTTTTCCCTCGCTCTCTCTCTCTCTCTCTTCTCCTATCTATGTATAGATCAAATATTTTCGAGTCCTTTTTTTTTTTTTTTTTGTCTTTTATATTTATATTCTATTAAAATGAAACACAAAGAAAGGCAAAAGATAGCCGTCCGGACGTGCGCCTCCGTTCAATTGATAAAAGACGTGCGGACGAAGAAGTTTTTTTGTGTGTATGTATATATATACACTTGAAATAAATAAAAAGTGACACACTAAGGCAACGATAGACACATCCCGCTGTGTCTCGTGATCCGAAAAAGACGTTGTGCATGTGTGCCGTTCAACTAACGGAAGTTTTAAAAATTGGCTCCTTCCGATTAAGAGACGGGAAATTTTATGAATAGGCTCAATAAAGCTTTAACTAACAAAGGGAGAGAGAGAGAGAGATAAAGATACACACCCATGCACATTTATATTGTATACATTCAATTAGATAAAGAAACTCTAACCTGTATATTATTATTATTATTATTGTGTGACAAACACTATAACTTAGATAAGTTCAAAAGAATAATCTAAATGAATGAATGAGTAAATTGTCGGTGAGAAGAAGAAAAAAAAAATCAACGAACATTTTCGATGTTAATCGAATAAACGTGTGTTGGACAGTAATCGGTTTTTTGACCCTTTGATTGCATCATGTTTAATGTCCTAGTAGTTGTTGTTGTATTAGTAGCAGTAGAAAAAGAATATGATGATGATGATGATGATGAGGAAGACGACGACGACTAAGTATGATAATCTCTTGGCAATAATTGAATTTGGCTGTATGTATATATGTATATGTCGTCAGTACAGACCACGCCCAGGGGCTCTTCTACACCCGAATAAATCACTCGACTTTGACCTATTCGCATCATCTTTAATGTGTATTGCTCCATACACATTGAATTAGTCTTCTTTTCTTTCTTATTTTCTATAGTGTCAAGGATTCAACGAATCTAGTGGTACATACTTGAACGCGTGTAAGAGACTCCCAAGAGCATCAATCATCATTTTTATGACATATGAGGATCGCCGTTCCAATTGAATGACTTTTTCTTGTTTCTGCTTATAAGAGTACTAGTCAATAGAATATAGTCTTTCAATTCGGCTAGTAAGGTCAATAAGTATGATATCAAGGAAAAAGATGGCCATGATGTAAGAGCTCTTTACACTTATATGCGTGAGAAATTAGCATTTTCTCTTTTCTTATATCTTATAATAGTTATGCGGAAATCTGTCGCTTCTAGTGACGAACTTGATACTAGCTATGTATATAGCATTTTCTATACGTTTATTTATATTTATATTAGTGAAATTGATCTCTTCTTTCTTTTCTATTCGCACGTCAATGAACACGTTGTATGATATCTTTTTTCTTATATGTGAGTGTGTGCATATATGTTTTGTGTTTTGTCGATAATATATCAACATAGAAAGCTAAATTGTTAATGATCAAAGTGTGCATATGAATAATAAAGACAATAGAAGTTAGTCAAACGAAACACATGTAGAATAGCCTTCCGCAAGACTGACTTTAGTTTAAAAGCGTCGGCGTCTAGTAAGCCTTAAGGCGTTTATTCAATATAACTACGATTGCAGTCAATCAATCGAACGAACAAACGACAACGGATTGTATTATGATGAGATGGCAATAATTATAATAACTTAAAATACAATAGGTAGACTAAAGTAAAAAGAAATCACGAGAATCATGCTTGTTGACTGAAGGTCATTTGACGCGTGCCAATGAAACCTTATTTAAAATGTGTTTAGTTGTGTCTAGATGTTTATTATTCTCATATGTAAAGAAGACAAAAAAAAAAGAAAAAGAATGACACTGATCTCAAGTAATTGTAGACCATTGGATCTGATTCTCTCGGATATTTCTTCATATTTCAATTTGTGTATGTTATCGAAATCATATATAAACCAACTTACCTGTGTTTGATGCTTAAAATTCAATTAGAAAGAAGATGTATCAAGGGAAATGTGTCATCCTTTGAATATAACATCTATATACATATGACTACGTAACATATACTCATCATTGAACTATTACCGAAGCAACACTTTTTTTTTTTTTTATTCGATCGTGCATATTGCGATATTATTATCATCAAACGGAAAAAAAAAGAAGAAGGAGAAGAAGAAACTGAACGAATGAATGATCGGTCGATCGACCGAGCCGATCAATGTGCACAACAAAAAAAGTATAAAGAAAAAAAAAATATATATAAATAAGAAACAAAAAAAAAACTGAAGGGAACCATCAACACAACAAGGCCACAAAGGAAAACTTCTTATAATCGTGACGAGTATACATTCACACAAATACACCACTCTAAAATTCCGGATATGTTATACAAAAAAGAAAAGAAAACAGACAAGTGTTGCTTTCTCTTTTGTTAGAAAACAACATACTAAAAAAAAAAACAAAATTCGACAACTGTTTGTTGTTTACACCAGAAATTTAAAAAAAAACACACACACACACACATACAAAGATATATTTTAAACATATCGAATTAAATATGTATAAACAGCTGGTAATTCTGTTTGTCCATGTGTATTTAATTGTACATCATTTCGTGGATTTATTGTTGCAGCATATATTGTAAATGTATAAACACCTTGTTTAGGTAAATTTAATGCAAATATAACATTAAAACCACCATTTGGTTTAATGGTCACATAATCTGATGCATTTAAACGTTGATTTAAATTTGTTAATGGTGTACGTGATGATAAATCAGATAATGTATGATGATATATAAGATCAAATGAAAAATCAACCATTTTACATATTTGAAATAATAATTCAATAGAATTTGTTGAATATAATGTTATTGTTGAATCAGTATGACTTATAGGAGTCATACCAAATTGTGAAAGTAAATTTGAATTTCCACCTATTTTAGGCATAGGTAT